TGGGTAACTTTCCATGGCCTGTTCTGGGTTGTTTCCTTTCATGCCTCTTGCTCTTATCTGCAGGGTCTATGTCCTGCCCCCCAAGGAGTTGCACAGGCTCCTCCATCAGAACCTCTCCCAATGTCAGATTTCACGCATACCAGGGAGTCCATGAGCCAGCCCTACTCAGTTCACCTCCTGACCTAGCAGGAACAGTTGCTTTTCCCGAGTGGCATTCAACCCAATCTGGTTCTTACTGTTGGATGTTTCAGCCCAGCTACGACTCTTCCATACCCACATATAGCTCACACATGGCTCAGTAGGGGCTGAGACCTAGCCTAGTCCATCCCACATCTGCCCTGGTCTTCCAGAGCACCAGATCGTGTTGGAGTCTAGCCTGGCTTGGTGCATCCAATCCCAACCCACACTTGTGCCAAGGGAGACTGCAGCCATATCCATATCAGAACACAGCCCCCATTCCAGCCCTGTGCTCCTTGGTGGGAACCTCAATCCAGCTAGGGTGTCCCCTTAGCTCCCCAACCAGGCCTGTTCCCAGCCATAGATTGCACGCATGCCAGTGGTTGCTCTGACTCAGCTTGGCACAGCCCCTCACCTCTCTCGGCCCTTGCCTTAGATACTGTGTCTTAGCGTCTCTGGCTCACACAGACCAGTAGGTGCAAGAGCCTAGCTCGGCATTGACCTGTGCTCTATCCTGATTTCTAATTTTGCTTGTGGACTAAGCTTAGTCCTGCCTGGTCCACCCCGTTGCATTACCAGTCCACACATTAGCCAACCATTGGAGCTACTTTGCCCAGCTTGTCCAACCCCCAGGTCTGAACCATGTGTTCACCAGCGGGAGCTATGACCCGCCAGGGGAGCTTCTCAAGTTCTTCCACTTGACCCATTCCCTGACCCAGTTCTTCTACATGCCATTGGGTTTTAGGCCAGTGTCTGGCATAGTTTGGCCTTCCAATTGGCCTTGTATGAGCTGGTGAATATTTCAGCCCAGCCCACCCTACACCCTAAACAGGATGCACATTTGGGTGCTCCTGCCTTGACCAGTCCACACTGTTGTGGATTCCTTTACCTGTGAGTGATGGCAAGCTCTTTGGTCATACCTAGTTTAGTCCATCACCCCTTCAACTCTTGAGCTAGCCAGTGGGATTAGTATTTCCACAGGGTTTGGCCCACATCCCCCACAGAATCTACCCCCGAATATGGTTCCTACGTGTGCTGCTTAATGTCATGGCCCTACCTAATATGACCCGTTTCCTGATCCATCGTCATATCAGGTTATAGGATATGGTCCTGCTAGACAAACCCCAAGCCTTAACTTGCATGGACTGGTATTTGGAGGTCATCATTGTTCAGTGATTGCAAATACTACACTGGATTTAAAGGAGTTTTGGTATATCAGTCTTATCCATAAAGATCATCTGGTCCCTCTCCTCTAACCTACTAGGTCTTATTACCCTCCCTTACCCTCAAAGGAAAAGTTACTCTGTCGTTGGGAAATCTTTAGGATTGATTGACATCCCAGATGTACAGTGCGCTTAACATGGAGATAGCTAAGCAGCAATTCAAAGCCCCAAAACCCCAGAGTGCACTGGCTGTCCAGGGACAGGTAACCGCATGGACGCACTGGCCAGAATCGGGGCTCTGAGCATGGAGACGATCCTGGCCTAGCACCCACCAGCAGCCAATAGGCTGCTGGAAGTTTAAATCCCCAGGTCCCAAGTTCACCTCCTCCGCAATCCCATCCCCTGCGCCATCATGGTTGCGGGTGGGACCCCAGACCCGCCCAACCCTCCGACTTTCCCTTCAGTGAACTCATCATGAAGGGAACAGTCTCTGGAGATCGGGCAGGCCCAGGGACAGGTCACCGCGTGGACACAGTGGCTGGAATCTGGGCTCCAAGCATGGAAATGATCCCAGCCTGACACCCTGGAAGTTTCTATACTGAAGTATTTCTTTTTTGTTTTTTAAGTCTATTTTTTTAAAGATTTATTTATTTTTATTACAAAGTCAAATATACAGAGAGGAGAGACAGAGAGGAGAGAGGAAGATCTTCCATCCGATGATTCACTCCCCAAGTGACCGCAACGGCCGGTGCTATGCTGATCTGAAGCCAGGAACCAGGAACTTCTTTCCAGGTCTCCCACGCGGGTGCAGGGTCCCAAGGCTTTGGCCCGTCCTCGCCTGCTTTCCCAGGCCACAAGCAGGGAGCTGGATGGGAAGGATGGGAAGTGGAGCTGCCAGGATTAGAACCGGTGCCCATATGGCATCCTGGCGCTTTCAAGGCGAGGACTTTAGCCACTAGACCACGCCACCGGGCCCTATACTGAAGTATTTCTACAAGGAGTTTTTGTCTGTGTTTCAGAGGTAGTGGACAAATGAAACCTTATTTGCATTCAGCAGTACTGATTTACCAATTTGGATTTTGGATAATTTGCAAATGAAGAATACCAATTTTATATCCCACCGTTTCTTCAGTGTTAGAATGTATGTACTGTTTTTGATATAAAACAAAGTCCATATCCTGCCTACTAACACATTTCAAACATACCCATAGACATCATAAATAAGAAAATATTTCTTGTCCAGATTTTTTTCCTTTTTGCAATACTAGGTCTGTTGTGTATAAATATTTTGACGTAAACTTTTGGTGTTGATGGTTTTATAAATATTTTATGAGAAGCTAAAGGCAAAAGAGCTCTTTAATGGTGGTTACTTCTTAAATAAGCTCATAGAAATAGACTTAAAGTGATCTAGAATAAATGAGAATCTCAAGATCAGTGCTGCTTAGTGATTTGGAAAGGATTTGAAGACATGGATCATTTCTCAGAAAAAAGGAACACAATATTCTCTTTAAAAGAATTATCTATAAATAGCATTCTTTATCCTTGTAGTTTCTTGGTGTTAAATACAGATTCAGTGGTGGGTAACAGTGACAGTCAGACTGAAGATTTGCCAAATATGTATCTCCTTAGGTTGTACTAGTATAGATTCTTTACTTTCAATGAAAATAGCTCTTACAAGTTTTGCTATCCTTTTCAAGTTTATCTGCATGCAGAATCAAGGCAAACTAATTTAATAAAATGTGTGTAGTTCAAGTTTTGCGATTTTACATGTGTACAGGATTGCATAGTTGTGTTGTATCTTTGAACTAAGGTAATAGGTAAACTGGCATGTGATACTTTTATATCACAGTTACAATACGTGAACATGATAAGTAAGTTTTTCCTTTAAAAATATCTGTTGCCAAAAAGGTTGTTTAGTAAAAGAAAAAGACTAAATTAGTAAAATATAATTTATCCCCTTGTAATTTATCTTTTTTTGGCTGCCATTAGAAATTTTGTTTGGAATTATTGTTCTTGTGATGAATATATTAAAGTGGAACAGGTACAGCCTGAAATGTTGTAATTTATATGTGTCTGCGTAGTCCTAACTTAGCATACTATTAGATTTTGAACATTAGAAATAGTCTAGGACAAGTTTCTTTCCTTTTTTGGAAGTAAGTTTCTGAGAGGCCAAGGGACTTGCAAACATCAAGTATTTCATCGCAGAGTAATGATGTGAACTCCTAACTGAAATTCTTCCCCTCTCTCCACCTGTCCTGTGTGCTGTGTGTTCCCTTTGTTATTTGGCAATAAGTGCAAGAGTGAAAAACACATCTTCATTTTCAAAGCCTTAAGTTTTGAAGTCCTTTACATAGCTTTCAGATTTTCATTCAAAACCAGTGACTATAGATTAAGAATTTTAGGTTAAAGCCTGCATTAAAATTAGACTTTGAGGCTATGAATCACTTAACAGTTCTTTATTTAAATAAGGTTTTGCCTCAAATTATAATACTTATACCAAATATTGTTTCTTAATAAAAACTGGTAAATCCATTTTTTTTCCACAATTTTTATGTTACTACTTGAAAGTACTTTTTTCTTTAGGGAAATAATGTAAAGTATTCTTTGGCATCAGATAATTAAAATTGCAATTTTTTTCCAATCTGTGATGCAAAAATATTTATTTGTTTTCCATTTTAATTTTGGAATAGGGAGTAATTTTTGAATTATAATGATGTAGGAGGATTGGTCAAGGTCAGTAAATCATCTGTTATAAAATTAATAGAGTGGGTTTGTTTATGTCCTTTCTATGTATTTCTATTATAGGAAATTTCCACTTCTCAATCTATGTTGTATGAGTAAGTTTTCTCTACTATTACTAATCAATTTTTACCCACTGTTTTGGAACTTATTACCTTCTTTAACAATAACAACAACAAAATCTTAGGGTTTTAATTGATAAATAAAGTGCTGTTCATCCTCAGCTGGCACCAGGGCCCAAATGGCTGAGAGGCATTTTGTGCATCTGTAATCAGGTCTTAGCTTGAGTTACAGGGATTTTACATTGCATGCATTTAAAGAAACCTGCATGGTGGGAACTTCATTAATTAAAGCCCTTTTCGTGAAATGTTGCCCTTATGCATTCTCATTTGACTTAGAAGCAGGTGTGTGAAGAAGCATACAACAAGATCTGGGGTAACTGCTACCATCTACGTCATAGCAGTGATTTTTTTTTTTTGTAGGTTGCAGAACAAAGTATTTTAAACATTTTCTAAAACTGTTTTACTTCTTTAGTAATTAGCAATATGCTATCCCAAGGATTTCCAATGTTAATTTTCATCTTATAATGCAGACACTAGGCTGTGATATAAAACATAAAGCCATTTTAATTAGGAAAACAGATCATGAGAACTCCATATGAGGGAATAAATTTCTAAATGCTTCCATGTTCTACTTAAGTGGAATAAAAAAATACATTTGAATTTACATTAAATTGGGTCTGTTTTGAAAGCTGAAGAGTCAGGGGAAAAGGGGTTGGAACGGGAATCTGGAGTGAGTTTGGGATTCCCTGATGGGGAGGGGGGATAGAGTAGCCCTTCAGTCATGGAGAGGAGGAAGCTTTTGACCCAGGGTATTCAGGTTATTTGGTTCTCCCCTCCCCCCTTTTTTTGTTTATTACAGGCAAAGGGGAAGATAGTGATGTACTCAGTATAAATGCAGATGCTTATGACAGCGACATAGAAGGCCCCTGCAACGAAGAAGCAGCTGCTCCTGAAACCTCAGAAAATACAGTCCAAAGTGATGCTGGTCAGATAGATGATCTGCAGAAAGACATTGAAAAAAGTGTGAATGAGATTCTGGGACTGGCTGGGTCAAGCCCAAAGGAACCAAAAGCAGCCACCCTGACTGTCCCTCCGCCAGAAGATGTTCAGCCTTCTGCACAGCAACTGGAGCTGCTAGAACTTGAGATGAGGGCAAGAGCAATTAAGGCCCTCATGAAAGCTGGGGATGTAAAAAGCCAGCCTAGATACTGAACTGCACTTTGAATTTTGAGTGTGTTTGAATGAAGCTATGCCATACAATTTTGTATCTGAAGTTTTATTTGGATCCTATGTGGTATTTCTCATGTGACCCTCATTAGGTAAACTCATCACAGGCCTGATGTTATCCATGGTTAACTTTCATTGGTTACTTTTGTATTATAGACACATTACTATTTTTGAATTCATGGTAAAAATAGATGGGTAGCCTGGATGCTTTGTTAGGTTTTTCGCTGTGTCTGCCAATTAATACTTTATAAACCATTAGCAAAGAGTCATGCTTTTTTTTTCCTATTACTTTCAATATTTTGGCACCAAACCTAGGAGCTGAAGAGAGATCGACAAGGCATGTTTCTCTACCTATATTTTGCAGTGGAATATTAAATTATTGCTCCCACATTTAGCAGTTTAAGAAATTTATTTTTTTATTTATATTTGCCTTTAAAATATGAACTGTTTTGAAGATGTCTCCTGTGGATGAGTATTTCTTAAGTTAAAACTGAATCACAGTTTTGGTTAAAAGGCTACACCACCTGAAATGACTTAGAAAAACTTTTTTATAAAGGGAAGAATGAATTAATTTAAGGCAATTTTTAGCAGTGCAGAATTAATTGTCCATGTGCAGTCCTAGCAGACAGACCATTCTAATGGGTATTTGATACTCTTGGACATTTTGTTCACGTTTTTTCTTCAATAAAAAGGAACAAATTTTCCTTTACATTCCAAGCTACCAGAAAAGGAGAAACTTCTATCATGTAAGATTTTATCTGATACTGTTACTTGAAGATCTGATGCGCTTTATTCCATGAACCAAAAGTAATAAAAGACTGTTGTCTGAATCTGAAGACTTTACATTGTTTTCAAAAAGTGAAATTAATTTCAGGATCCTTTGATAAGTTGATGTTGTAATTAATGCAATTTTGCATAGTTTCTATAAATAAATATCTTGCCACAATTAGAGATGTTTTTCGCTCCATTACAAAATGCAGTCATTTGACACCAAAACAAGTTTAGATAAAGAAACTTTGCTCAAAATAAATTAATTTTCCTAAAATATAAACCTGAAGCTGTTGTTTTTATAGTTGATGACAAATATGGCATACTTCTTAAGCCATGCTCTACTAATGTAGCATGAAATTTTTCTTACATACAAAAGTTACATAAGGATTAATTTTAGAAAGTTTTCTAGAAAATGGAAATAACTTTATGTAACGTTTGAGTTGCAATTACAAATTTTTGTAATCTTTCTGATATGCATATTAATAATCTTACCATTTTTTCCTCTCCTTGAGTCTTTGTTTAAAAAGGTTTATTTGTTTTTCTTGGAAAGGCAGATTTACAGCAAGAAGGGGAAAAAGAAAAATCTTCTATCTGCTGGTTTACGCTCAGAATGGCCACAGGGCTGGTGGCTAAGCCAATCTGAAGCCAAGGAGTTTCCTCTGTGTCTCCCAAGTTGGGCCAACCTTCACTACTTCCCTAGGCCATTGGCAGGAAATGGATTGAAAGTGGAACAGCTGAGACACAAACCTGTGTCTTTAGTGGGTGCCAGCTTTTGCAGGTGTAGTATTAACCTATTTTGCCCCCAGGCTGCTCCCTCCTGAGTCTAATGAACTATAGTACCCTATATCATTTAGAGTCAGGCATTGGAAACATCTGGCCTGTGAACCAAATAAAGCATACAAAAGCATTTCGTCTGGTCCTGTGTCAGTGATCTGCAGGCTGGATTTGAAATTAGGTAAATCTATTACAGGCTAATTTTTAAGTTGAAATTTTGTATAGCCTTTAAATGATATTACAAATATCCAAATGACCACTGGCAATAAAATGGTACCCAATTTCCTGTTTAAAATAATTATCTAAGAGCCGTTGTTGTGGGTTAAACCTTTAATCGTAGTGCCATCATCCCATTGGATGTCGCTTTTAGAGCTAGCTGCTGTGCTTCTCTAACTGCCTGCTGACGTGCCTGGGAAAGCAGTGGATGTGCCTGGGCTTCTATTCCCACATGTGAGACCCAGGAGAAGCTCTAAGCTCCAGGCTTTGGCCTGGCCCAGCCCTGGCCATTGAAACCATTGGAAAAGTGAAACTCGAAGATTCTCTCTCGCCTTCTTTTCTCCAGCTCCTCTTTGTCCCCGCTATTCGTCCTCTCTTTGAATCTTTGCCTTTCAAATAAGTAAAAAACTAAATCTTAGTCTGTTCAAAGTGAATGTGTTCTCATTGTTAAGGCTACAAGAAAAAAAATGCATTTGTTACGGTCAAGTTCTTTTTCTATTCTAATTTAAAGTAAAAGCTAAAATGAGTTAGTACATTATCAGCTTTACTTACTAGTAAAGTACAGCAGGTGGCATGTGTGTTATTAAGCGTAAAAATCGGAAAAGCTGTGAGTACTTTCTGGCTGATGGAAGTCCTCACCTTTGGGAAATATTGTGGGTCTTTTGTGTTAAGTGTGCAGATGGAGTAGAGACCATTTGACTGGAGTGGAAAATGTGCAGTAGAATGAACTGTACAAACCAGAGGCTGCTTACATTGCTTTTTTGAGTCAAATGCCTTTTTGTTTCAATGCTCTTTTAATGTTGAAAGACTTAAGGGTTTTTTGACAATGAATGGCTAGGATGATAAAATTTTTAGGAATGTATTAATAATGGGAAAATACCATGTATTGATCTAATTCTGCTCTTTAAGATATCAACACAACTATTTAGTGGCTTCCTCTAAGGTGTTTACTCTTGTTCATGTCTTAAAAAAAAGATTTTTATTTGAAAGGTAGATGTAAAAAAGAGAGATGGCAAGAGATCTAGCATCTGCTTGTTCACTCTGCAAATGGCTTCAATAGTTATAGCTGGAACTGGTTGGAAGCCAGGAGCATGGAGCTTCTTCTGGGTCTCCTACATGGGTGCAGGAGCCTATGGATTTGGCCATCTTCTGCTGCTTTCCTAGGTATATTATCAGAGAGGTGGATCAGAAGTGGAGCAGTTGGGACTCGAGCCAACACCCATATGGGATGCTGGCAGGTAGATACTTCATCTATAATACCATGGCACTGGCCCCTTGTTCATGCTTTAAACCCAGAGATACTGTGGTAATTATGGAATAGATGGCTAAGATATAGATCCTGCTGCTTCTTATGTCTAGTTCCCTCCTTTTGCTAAAGCAAGTGGTGTTTTTAGGCAATATTTAATTACTATCTAAATTAAAATACCGAAGAGAAAATGGCATCTAATTTTTCTATGCAATGCCAAGCACTTCTGATGTTTGACCAGGAAGTTGACTGAACTTCTGAAGGCTGAGTGGCAGTTGGTAATAGATGCTCTGCATTGTTGAGCAATTGCTTGAAGGCACTACACTAGGCTTTTGCCAACTTTTAAAACATGTTTCTACTAATCCACTTACTCAGCCATCTCACAAGAACCTATCATCAAGTTACCAGTATAACGTTTTCAGTCATGAAAAGTCACTGCAAACCCCCAAACCATTTTTGTTTAAAACCATCAGTTCCTTTAAACTGTCAAGTCGTATATCCTTTTCTCATAAATCTTTTTACCAAAGCCTATTCTCAAGAAAATATTAGATTCTATGGCGTGAAAAGTTATCTGAATAAAGGTGTTCTGAATCATTTGAACAGTTAATACAAATTGCAGTAAAATAAGCATTTTTTGATGCCATTTTCAAGGTACATAAAGCAGAAGCAATTTGGACAGCCTGAGAGTTTAAAAATTCTCAGTCTGTTCCATCATAAAAAGTAGGAAGAAAAAATTCAGCTCAACATTTCATTGATGGTATTTGTTTAATTTTTCAAAAGTGAAGACCAGTGTATTAACTTAAAACTTTGTCTTTTCATATTTTCACCTTTTCTTTTGTATTCAAGTAAAGTCTTGTTAAAACAATGAGAGATTAATTAATATATCAGGGGAAATGCCATTATAGTTCCCTTATTTTTAATTTTTGTTTTAAAATGCTTTGGTGCAATGAAAAGAATGTAAGAGCCCAGTGTGATGGCTCAGTTGGCTAATCCTCTCTACAGAAGCACGGATCCCATATAGGCGCCATTTTGTGCTGCTCCACTTCTGCCTCATCTCCCTGCCTGTGGCCTGGGAACACAGTAGAGGATGGCCCAGAGCCTTGGGACCCTGCACCCGCGTGGGAGTCCTGGAGGGAGCTCGTGGCTTTGGAACAGCTCAGCTCTAGTCGCTGTGGCCACTAGCGGAGTGAACCAACGGATGGAAGGTCTCCCTATCTGTGTCTCCTCTCTCTAAGTCTGCCTTCCCAATAAGAATAGAACTTAAAAAAAAAAGTTAGAAGTTAAGAACACAGGTTTCTGATTCTTTACAAATCACCTGTGTCCCTGGGTAAGTAGCTACAATGAAGAAAATAAATTGTTAGCCAGTGTATATGATATCTTTCAATAGTCTGTGTTTGCAAAATGGAATACCATAAAATTTATGAGACTTAACTAACTCTTTTGGCTTCTGATACGTCTTAACTCCTTCCCCCTTTTCTGCGCTTCATAATGACGTAGCAGTCTAGTCTGTCCCTGTACCTGCAAGATACCTGGTGTGAAGAAAATTCAAGTTATATATATTTTTTCTTTGATCTGTTACAGTATTCATTGTTAGGTGCATTTGGTAAGTATACTGCCTAGGATGACTCAGTTTGATCCATAAATTAGGTTATTTTTAGTTTCTCTTATTTATTTCAAAACACATCAATAATGTTTAGTCCAAAAGGATTTTCCCCTCCCCCAGTTTACATAATGAAAGCTAGTGCTCCCATCTCTCTCCATTTTATACCCAGCTATTGCTGCACAGGTAACTGCTTCCAAATCTGTCATCCCTTGCTATATTAGTGTTTGTGTTTCTAAATGGCGTGATTATTTTGCTAATTCTCTGCATTTCAGCCTTCTATTTCAGCTAATGGTCTCTTGTGCAATGTGAAGATTAAGTTCTAGTTCTTCTTGTCTGTCCCCCAGGCACATACTTTTCTCATCATCCTGTTAGCATGCAGTTATGCCACAGTTTATGGCTTATTTAACATTTTTGCCTTACACTATTTTGACTATGTAAATACTGTTCATGGCTGAACTATATATAGTGGCTATAATTATACTTCTTTTTTTGGCTTGCTTTTTGTTTTGTTTGGAATTAATATGATTGCTTTGTATGCTTTGCTCAGTGTCCTGTGTCGCAGGCGTTCATTCATTCTTGTCATTCAGTTCTGAGAGACTTAAAAATATTTCCTGGGTAAGTTCTATCCCTTCATGATTTAAAAAAAAAAAACTTAAAAGATTTATTTATTTTATTGCAAAGTCAGATATACAGAGGAGGAGAGGCAGAGAGGAAGATCATTTGTTGATTCACTCCCCAAGTAGTTGCAACAGCCAGAGCTGAGCTCATCTGAAGCCAGGAGCCCAGAACCTCTCCCATATGTAGGTGAAGGGTCCCAAGGATATGGGGCTGCCAGGATTAGAACCAGCACCCATATGGTATCTCAGTGTGTGTAAGGCGAGGACTTTAGCTGCTAGGCTACCATGCCAGGCCCTATTCCTTTATAATTTTTTTTTTTTTTTTAGATTTTTATTTTTTTTATTATTTTTTCATTGGAAAGGCGGATATACAGAGAGGAGAGACAGAGAGGAAGATCTTCCATCCGATGATTCACTCCCCAAGTGAGCGCAACGGGCCGATACTATGCCGATCCGAAGCCAGGAGCCTCTTCCGGGTCTCCCACGCGGGTGCAGGTTCCCAAAGCTTTTTGGGCCGTCCTCGACTGCTTTCCCAGGTCACAAGCAGGGAGCTGGAAGGGAAGCGGGGCTGCCGGGATTAGAACCGGCGCCCATATGGGATCCCGGGCGTGCAAGGCGAGGACTTAACCACTTGCGCCACCGCGCCGGGCCCTATAATTTTTTTTTTAAATCACTACTTCTGGAATTCATTCATAGCTGTCAAGAATTGCTTTTAAAGTTTGCATGTTTCAGTTTTCCATCTTTTTCTACTGCTTATTTTGCATTTCTAGTTCTTCCAATGACTTAAGTTTTTCTGTATGGATTTTAATATCCAAAACACTTTTTGGTATTTTTAAATTCTCTCAGTATTCCATTTAAAAATGATTCTTCATTTATTTGAAAGGCAGAGAGAGGAAGGAATAAGTTTGATACACTGGTTCATTCTTGCAAGTGATTATAGTGGCTAGGGGTTTGGGCTAAACCTCTGCCAAGAGCCCAGAGCTCGATCAAGGTTTCCCACATGGGTGGCAGGGCACTCAAGTACTTTAACTGTTATCTGCCACTTTCCCAGTACATTAACTGGGAGCAGAGCAGCTGGGAGCGGAACTGGTGCTTATATGAGATGCCGGTATTGCCAGCAGGTTATTCAGACCCCTAAATATTCTGTTTTTAGAACAGCACCATACTTTGTGTCTGTAGGCCAGTGGCTGGAGCCGGAGTTTGCTACCCTTGGATCTTATATATAACTTGGTTGGCAGTGCAGAAAGTTTGAATCTCAGGCTGCCCTAAGTCTGTGCAGCACCCTGTGGTCCTTCCCAGAACAAGTTAGGCAGTGTTGGATAGGACGGTTGTTTGATTGTCGCATCTGCCCTGCTCTCTTGGGGGAGGTTCCCTTTATGTAGGAGGGGGTTGTGAGGCACTTATTTATCCCAGCACTGTCTGCCTTTCTCAGTAAAGGCCTAGTTGCAGGCTGGCTTAACTTCAGTGTGGCTTTACTTTGTAGCATCATTACATTGTCATTGCTTCCATTTCGTCTTAGTGTCACTTGCACAAGGGCCGTGGGGACTTGGCGCCTGGCTGCTTTGGTTGCTGCGTTTTCACCATCTGTGTAAGTAGTAAGATGTCTGCATCTCCAGAGATTTCTGGGTGAAACTGTCGGGGCTTAATTGGCCTTGGCCTTGTGTACCACTGCTTCATGAATGTAACATTTACTGGATATTTTAGCAATTTTGAAGTTTTCCTTTTTGCCTTTTCTTTCAGTTTTTTTGTTGTTTTCTGTGTGTTGTTTTTTTTATACTTCCCTTGAATCTGATGGTGTTTGCTTGTGTATCTGAGCAAGACACTGACAAATGAGTCACAACCTTTATGGATGACACTCACTAATGGGTGCAATTCTGTTTTTTGGTTTTGGTTTTGTTTTGTCGGGGGAGGAATGGGAGGAAGGGCAGCTGGCTGAGGATATTTACAAATCACTGGGGAGTTTTTATGTAGTCTGTAGTGTAGGAGATTATCAGCCGTTTCACTGTGAGTCCATCCTTGTACTGCATGCACAGGGGCATACTTCTCTCTGTTTCTACCTATGAGTATATTAATTTCTGCTGTACTTCCATTATGCATACTCTTAGGTATAGTCCACCATGAGAAGGAAAATGAAGGTGAGCCTCATTCCCATAAAGTTGACAAACATGTAACAAAGATATTAATGTGATGCCAGGGTGGTGAAAAGGAGTGTTCAACATCTTCATGCCAGCGTGTGTCCGTGTGGCACTAATGAATGCTCAATAAGGACTAGATCATTGCTACTTATGGGCAGTAGCAGTAACAGTGATAAAAGGGATATTGACAACCTCAGGAGATTCTGGAGCACTTCGAATTTTATGGAGCATGTCATGAATTTGCACTTCACTGCCTTGCGTAGGGATCATGCTGATCTTCTCTGTGTTGTTGCAACCTGGGATCTTCATGATGGAGCCTTTCTTGTGGAGTCACGCTATTTCTTGGTGTCATCTCTTCATAGACAATTTTTTTTTTAAATCTACTACGTCATTTCCACTCAGTTATTTGTGGTTCAACTTCCAAAATTTTGGTGACTCCTCTCTTGCTTTTTTTACGTTGTCTGAATGGACTGGTTCTTTTAATCTCCAGTGAGTGCTTTTGAAATAATGGTGGCATTGTGGTTAATAAATTATGTTTAAGCATATGCGACTGGATTTTGAACCTACTTTTGTTTTTGTCTGACAGTATTTTTTCTCAAGTCCAAGTTAGGTCAGCTTAACATAACACCTTAACTGGCATGAAGGAGTTGAGAAGGAAGACAGCAACTGGCATTGTGATGGCTAGGGCTGGTGATGGCATTGTTGTTTACAGGTGGTCATGTGTTTCCATTCCTTCTTTTGCTCCAGTAATTTTTTTTCAAAGATTTATTTATTTTTCTGGAAAGGCAGATTTATAAAGAGAAGGGGAGAAAAAGAGAAGGATGTTTTGTGTACTGATTTACTCTCCAAGTGGCTGGTGCCAAGCTGATCTAAAGCCAGGCCCAGGAGCTTCTGGGACTCCCATGTGAATGCAGGGTCCCAGTGCTTTGGGCTGCTCTCAACTGCTTTCCCAGGCCACAGGCAGGGAGCTGGAAGGGATGTGGAGCAGCTGGGACATGAACTGGTACCCATGTGGCATGCCAGCGTGTGCAAGGCAAGAGTTAGCCAATTTGGCCATTGTGCTGGGCCCTGGTATTATTTATTTATTTATTTATTTGTTTGTTTTACAAACACAGATTTATTTAATAAAGAGTGTTAGACACCCCACCTGCAGAGATGATGCCTGGAAGTGGGCCAAACAGTTGTCCATGAGTGTAGACCATGGGAGGAAATGAAAGATGGATTCAGAAGCCAAAAGCAAAAAATAACTCCAGTAATTTTTAACTAAACTGTGTCTTGGTATTGATCACTAAATGTCAGTGTTGTTGGAAATGTAATGTATTCTTTCAGTTTATAATCTCACATTCCTTTGGTTATTTTTTGTTTTCTTTAAAATTTCCTGTTATTTGCATCATTATTTTGCTGGTTTTCAGTACAACATGTAATTTTCTTATGCTTACATTTTTTGTTCTTTTAATCTTCATTTTGAGATTTATTTATTTATATACATATTGGAAAGGCAAATCCAATTTACAGAGAGAAAGACAATTGAGAGAAACATCTTCCATCCTCTGATTCATTCCCCAAATGGCTGCAGTGGCTGGAGCTGAGCCGATCCAAGGCCAGGAGCCAGAAGCTTCTTCTAAGTCCCCCACAGGGGTGCAGGGTCCCAAGGCTTTGGACTGTCTTCTACTTTCCCAGCCACAAGCAGGGAGCTGGATGGGAAGCGGAGCAGCTGGAACACAAACTGGTGCCCATATGGGAGGCTGGCACTTGTGAGGTGAGGATTTAGCTGTTGAGCCATCATGCTGGACCCAGTTAAATGCCTCCCCTTTCACCTGTTTCCCTAAAGGTATTGACTGTTCTGTTTATCCTTGTGCATGTTCCTTCTATTTTATTTTTAATTTCTAAAGTGATATCTTTAGTTTCTATTACTTATCTGAATTCTGTCCCTTTGTTTCTAGTTCTGATTTGTTTCTTTTACATCTTGTATCATTTTAAAATGACTTTAATTTCCTTTTAAAACACAAACTAGTCGTTTCGGTATATTCTGTAGATTTGTCCTTCTGGTGTGCTTTCATTGTCCACGGCATAGTACTTTTGTCTCTCATTACTTCAAGTTCATTTTCCTGAAATTTTTTGAGGGACCTCATACAGGTTTTTCTGGTTTGTGTTATACAATCTGGAGACCCACCCTCTTTGGCTTCCTGCTTCTGTTCCCTGCTCCTACTTTCACGTGGGCTTCTCTGTCCTGCTGTTTTGTTCCTGCTTGGTGAGGGAATCTGTCCTGGAAGGAGTGCCAGTTGATTGCTTGCTTGAGTTCCTAGGGGCTAGACTGCTTGTGCTGTTTAGATCTGTCTGTCATTGTGATCACCTGCTGTTACAAGGAGCAAAGCTTTCAGGTTCAGCTGCTGGCTCAAATCTCCTTGTTATGGTAACCAGTTGTTTTCTTCTTCCGTAGGTCTGTTAGACGCTTGGTTGTCTTGTTTTGGCTTTCTCCCACAGAAGTATTGACAAGGGCCTTGTGATTTGGTGCTGGCAGTTCTAACCTGTTTATGTTATAAGTGGAGATGCCTACATTTAGTTGGAAAGGCTCGGGTGTTTCTTTTTATTGCTGTGCCTAGTTTTATGAGTGGATTTAAAGAAATTCAAAACTTTGCTTTTCGTTTTAAAATATCTAAAATTTGCAAATTAATATTTGTATTTAAATGTTAATACAAATTTATTTTTATTTAAAATACAAATAATATATTCTGCATCAAGGAGAACTATTTTATTATAAATATTACTGAATTATTTGCAAAGTTTTCCTGAGATTACTAATTTTGACAGGTTTTTCTTAAGTTTTTAACGTTTCGAAGAGTTTGGAACCAAAGCTTAGTTATCTTATTTGCTATAAGCAGCTACTGGCCTGAAGGCAAAAACAATTTTGCGTTTCTCCTTAGAATAAGAAAGTTATTTAGTATTATCAAGCATGTTTTCATAATAGATAGTTATCTATTGAAAGTTTTTTCCTGATAAACATAAAATTTCCTGTTACATAAAACTGAAAGCTATATATGTACATCAAAAGATGTTTACCAGAGTCAAAAGCCTGAATATTTTAGTGTTCTTTTTTAAAAAAAGAATTTAAAGGGAAGACAGCTTACCATGTTACTTTTTTTTTTTTTAAGGTTTGTTTATTTGGGGAATAGTATTTTGGTGTACAAGGTGAACCTGCTGAGTGCAAACTTGGCATCCTATTTGGGTGATCGTTGGAGTCGCAGGTCTTCTTGCTTCTGATCCAGCTCTCTGCTAATGTACCTGAAAAAAGCAATGGAAGGTATCCCAAGAGGTTGGGTACCTGCAAACCATTTGGGATACCTGGATGGAGTTCCTGGCTCTGGTCTAGCACAGCCCTGCTTATTGTGGCCCAGCCCTAGGCCAGGCTGAAGCAGAAACTCCAGCCTGGTCTCCAATATGAATGGCACAGGCAGGACGTTAGTTTGGAGCTGGGACTCCTACCTGGCTACAGAAGGATGCTGTCTTTTGGTTTGCTAGGCACAACTTCCAGGAGGTGTCTTTTATTGCATGGTGAAGGCGCATGCCAAGGCCCCACCCTGTTTGACCGTCTAGTTGGGGTCATCACACCTTCTGTCTGCCAGGACCCTGATGGCAATACCACTATCACCAGTGAACTCTTCCCACTTTGGAACTGAGCTCAGACATGGGGCTCTCGGTGAGCTCTTCTGCTACGGGGCTCCTAAGGGTCTCTCCTGCTGCCCCACTCTCTGACAGACTGTCCCAATTAAAGATAGCGTTTTGGGATTTTTCTTTTTCTCTTTTGCAGGCAACCCTTCAGCTCATTCATGTTGGGCATTTCTCAGTGTGGAACAGCTCACACTTGTGCCAAATACGCATGATACCATTCTCTGCTTAGTATTTCCATCTCTGCGGATGACGACAACCTCCATCAAAAATTAATATATTATATTCAGTTTCCACATAGCAAGTAATTGGGTCATCTTCCACTGTTTCCTCAGGAACATTAACTGGAAGTTGGGTGGGTAGCGGTCAGTCAGGGCTCAAGCTGGCACTCTGATCCTTTCCACTGGCATTACAGACTCCAATCCAGACTGGCTTTGACACACCACTCCCCACTGTGTCACTCTTAAAAGATAATTTGAGAGCCTGGTGGTGTGGCCTAGTGGCTAAAGTCCTCACCTTGAATGCGCCGGGATCCCATATGGGTGCCGATTCTAATCCCGACAGCCCCACTTCCCATCCAGCTCCCTGCTTGTGGCCTGGGAAAGCAGTCGAGGACAGCCCAAAGCTTTGGGACCCTGCACACACGTGGGAGACCTGGAAGAGGTTCCGGGTTCCTGGCTTCAGATCGGTGCAGCACTGGCCGTCGCAGTCACTTGGGGAGTGAATCATCGGAGGGAAGATCTTCCTCTCTGTATATCTGACTTTGTAATAAAAAATAAATAAATTTTTAAAAAAAGATAATTTGAAAAGTGTTTTAAAAAATCTATTTGGAAGGCAGAGTTACATAGGATGAGAAAGGTCTTCTACCCTCTGGTTCCACTTCCCAAATGGCTGCAAGTGCCAGAACTGGACCGGGCTGAAGCCAGGAGCTTGGAGTTTCTTCTGGGTCTTCCACGTAGGTGAGAAGTCTAAACTTTGGGACATTTTTATTTAATATGAAGATTTTATTTATTTTTTTTTTATTGCAAAGGCAGTTTTACAGAGAAAAGGAGGTACAGAGAGAAAGATCTTTCACCTGCTGGTCCACTGCACAAGTGGCTACAACAACCAGAACTGAGCCGATCTGAACCCCAGGAGCCAGGAGCTTCTTCCAGGTTTTCCACACAGGTGCAGGGTCCCAAGGACTTGAGCCATCCTTTATTGCTTTTCCAGGTCACAAGCAGGGAGCTGGATGGGAAGCAGAGCAGCTGGGACACAAACCGGTGCCCATGTAGGATCTAGGTGCTTGAAGAGGGAGGAATAACCAATTGAGCCATTGTGGTGGGCCTGGGCCATCTTTCCTTGCTTTCCAGGCACATTAGCATGGAGCTGGATTGGAAGTGAAGCAGCCAGGACTGCCTCACCGGCATCACCGGCAAAGGCTTAACCTGCTACACTACAATGCTGGCCACCTACAAGTTAATTTTTAAAAGATATATTTATTTATTTGAAAGAATGACAAAGAAGAAGAAACACGATCTCTTTGCCAAATGATTACAATGGTTGTAAAGGGTTGAACCAGGCCAAAGCCGAGGACCATGAACTCCAATACAGTTCTGTTACGTGGGTGCAGAAACCCAGTCAGCAGGGATGCTATTTCAAGCATATTAGCACAGAGCC